TGCTGCCTTGTCCACAGCACAGTACCATTACGTTACATCACCATGCCATTCATAACGAATAGGCTAGAGGAAGGGGAGCTCACTGCGACAACCTACTGCGAATTTCTTGGAAAAGCATTCGTTGCGCTTCCAGACTCAAGTGCCCTTGAGATATTCATTCATTTATGGTGCGACTAGTAAATATTGAATAGTAGTGAATACATGTTAGAGTTTAAAGGCATGTTTTAGAACTTTTGTCGGCCTCACTTTTCACTTTGTCACGTAACGATCATGTACAGAATAGTGTTGTATTTAACTCAAAGAATTTAGACACAATACAATGCTCTAGCCTAAGTTAATGTAGTTTGACAAAAAGGTACGAAAAGCCATTAGGTCTATCTGTTTTATTTTTTAAAAACCAGACGGCTTTCGAATGGGCACATCTCTGTCCGATACCACCTTGATTGATTGCTGTTTACTGCACGTAAAAGGTCGATACTTCTGAGGAATGTTCGTATTCAGCGTTGTGAGAGGTCAGACCCACACCCAACATAAACAATGCGAATGTCCACATTAGGCCCTAGGCTATAAGACAAAAATTTGACACCAACCTTTTCTACGAGGCCTGTCGTTCGTCTGTTTTACCCCCTCCTGTAGCTTTTGCGGGAGACAGAAAAACCCCACCACAGAGACTCAGTGCCTCTTCTTCCTGTGCTTTAGATCTAGATCTAGCTAGTGTGTTACCAAGATTGCCAAGATGGTAAGCAATCATCGCAGTACACAGCACACATAATGCTGCCACGCCGCGCGGGCGTAAAGTAGGTGAACGAGCCTAGCCTAAGAGCAACAGTAACAATAGGCGGAAGTTCTAAGCTGTGCAGTAGATCTAGGGAAGTCCAATTCGGATCAACGTTTTTTCCCCAGAAGTTAGATCTAGACAAGATTCTATTCATACGCTGCCTTAGTTTTGTGGACAGATCGAATGATGAATTCATTAATTATTGTTATATTTGAAGCAATTATTTCTAGATGGTTCCCAAAAGAATCTATAAAGTTGGGGAGACTAATTTTTTGTCATCTTGCCTTATGCCCTTTACACTTTGTCGAACCCTGTAAGTTGGTGGTTGGAGGGTGGCACTGACTGGTCCTACTTCTTCATTTTCCCCTCTTTTTTTATGTTCTTTGAGTCTTTCTGTTTCCCAGTTCTAAATGACCATTGCAGTGTTGACGTGCTTCTCTTTACTGAGAACTCAGAAGCGTGTTAATGAAGCTTAAGTATCAAACACTGAAGTAGATATCGTTCCGATTGTGTTTTCGCTGTGTTTGTCCACTTTCTATCCCCTATATTATGATAATGCATTTTGGTTCGCAAGGCAATGAGGTGTGAGAAGGACTGGCACCGGTATCCCCTGATTAATCTGAACAAAAACTAAACTGATAAAGTCTTCTCCCATCCCCCTGCAAAAAGTATGCTCGCATCCCACTGCAAAAAGTATCCTCTGTACACCATTTACTATTGTCCTAGAACTTGAAGTAGCATTCTCACAGTATCGATAATACCATTCGTGGCACAGAAAGCCTGTTTAGGGCTTGTGGATGTTTTGCTTGCTTAT